GTATAGCTTCCATAGTAGACCTGTTCGGCATAAATTAAAACTGATTATGAGAAATCTTTGTAGCACGTCTTAAACTATGTTCAATTATCCTCTCCCTTAATTTTAAAGCATGACACATCAACTTAATTCCTCTATAATTTGCACACTCATGTGCATCCCCTTTATTCTTAAAAATAGAGACCAAAATACTCCTCCACTCCTCAGACATCTTTTTAGTTTTTAAAATAATATTAAAGAGTTTAGTGAGCCAAGAAACTCTCAAATCACCTAAATATTTTCACAATTTAATTATATTTTCATAATTTAATTGGGATATCATTAGATCCTACTAATTTACTAATGTGTCGGTAAAAAAAATATATTTATGATATTAAAATCAGGTCAATCGTATTTTCAACGGGATATCATTAGATCCTACTAATTTACTAATGTGACGGTAAAAAAAATATATTTATGATATTAAAATCAGGTCAATCGTATTTTCAAAAACTTCAATGAAAAATTTATCAAAATAGTTCACCCACCTATGATATCCAAAAATAATTTGAAAAAAAAAAAAAGCAAATAAATTTAAATCCAAAATTAATCCTAAATGGTAGGTAGCAAAGTGACTAAAAGACCTACCCAATAGAAATCAACTATTGGATTACCAGACGATCCAGAGTCGGTAGAAGAAGGAGCCACATGACCCTAAAAAGCAAGACAGTTGTTGATCAAAATAAGAAAATTAACAGAAAAGCAAATTGATGAATAGTACTTAAAACTGCGAAAACTTACTTTCAGGTATAAGAAAACACAAAAGACAAGGCTTCCCACAACAAGTGCTGAAAAAATTTCTCCAAGATGATCGTAAACAATTGAAGGGTCGAATATCTCAAACCTAAAATGAGAGAGGCATCTGTTAAATTAAAATAAAAATTTCCAAGGACAAGAGGTAAAGTTCAATGGTTCAGTGTACTTACCACCAAAGTCCTAGATAAGTTATCAGAGTTACAGCATACGCTTGCAAACCATTAGCCTGATAATAACAAACGGAACAACACTTAAGAAAATGTGCTAAGAATTTTATGGCAGGACAATTATAAACAAAGAAAAAAAGCTAATATCACTTGAATGCAAAAAAGAGCTGGTTCTTTCTTATTTTAAATAATTAATGAAAACACAATGGATAATTTCTGCATATTGCATGAAGAAGGAAAAAAACATTTACAAATGAAATAATCATATTTTTTTCTATGATTTTAACCAACACCAACCTTATAAATGGGTATGTTGCCTGCAGGAGAAATTGGGCCTTCAAACCTTTTTCCAGGAAGTGCAAGCTGTAGAAAAGCTTCAAATGCACCGAAACAGGCAATAATTTTCCATGCAGTGACAGATGGAGTCGGGCAGAGAGATATGAAGCCATTGATCAGACCTTGCTGCTTTAAATAATTAAAACTATTTAGCACAGAACCATCAGCATGGACCATTGTGTACCATCTGAAGGAGAAAGAAGACTTAAATGAATCAAAATAACGAGTAAAAAATTTATTTCATAGTTTCAGCTACTTATAAGTAAATTGGCAGAATAAAGTTCAAAATGCCTTGACGAAAGAGAAGTAGCATCATTTATAACATGATTTTAGAAAGTATGCATCTCAAACAGTAGTAGAAGAAACAACAACAACAACAACAAAGATAATAATAATAACAACAACAATGATGATGATAAAATAATAAATAACTGTGATATGAACATAATAAAATAATCATAATCATGTCCATTAGCCTTATCCCGACTATTTGGAACCACACATTGGGATTTTAACTTCAATTCCTTTTATGGTAATTTCTACATTAAGCGCTAAATCTATTGTGCACAAGTATTTTGCATAAGTACCAAATAATTTACCTTTTATACACAGCTTTTCTTTTAAAATCCTTCCAAATTGTACACCAAACATGAAAAAAAAAAAACCCTGGTTACTTTGATCATCCTATACCACTATTATTCCTATTTGAAGTTAAAAAGGATTCAAACAAGGCACAAGGTCTTTCTACCCTTCAGTCCGCTTGACAACAGTATTGAGTAATTTCAATATCCCGATTATCATGTGTTAACTATTTATAGTAAGAAAATCTTTATAATTGATAATTATATTTCATCATTATTGAGAATATTCTCCTTTGTTGAGGAATTTGCTGATGATATTCTTCTCATGGATAAAATGAGAGAAAAAACCCAGGAAAAAATTGAATTACGGAGGTCTACATTGGAGTCTAAAGGCCTTCATTTAATTAGAACTAAAATTGAATACATGGAATGTAATTTTAGTAATAGTACCTCTAGTGACAGAAGTGTGACTTTGGGTGATCAAAGTATTAAAAAGTGTGAGCGATTTAGATATCTTGGGTCTGATGTTCAAAGCGATGGTGACATAGATGGGGATGTTAATAGTAGAATTCAAGTTGGTTGGTTGAAGTGGAGGAATGTTTCGGGCCTTTTGTGTGATAGAAAAGTACCGCTTAGACTGAAAGGAAAATTTTATAAGACGGTGGTGAGACCTGCAATGCTCTATGGTGTTGAATGTTGGCCTTTAAAAGAGAAGCATAATAATAAGTTAAGTATTGTTGAGATGAGAATGATTAGGTGGATGAGTGGCTTTACACTTGGACACAAAAATCTGAAATGAATATATCTGTGATAGGGTTGGTAGATGGTTTGGTCAAATTAAACGTCGACCATCTGATGATCTGATTAGGAGAGTAGATGTTTTAGGTTCGACTTGTGTTAAGAAAGGCAGAGGTAGACCTAGGAAGACTTGGGCTTATTGTATAAAAATTGATCTTAATTTTACTAGAACTAAATGAAAATATGACACTAAATAGGACGCAATGGAGAAAAAGGATTCATGTGGCCGACCCCACGTAGTGAGATTAAGGCTTTGTTGTTGTTGTTTTTGTTGTTGTTGTTTTTGTTGTTGTTGTTTTTGTTGTTGTTGTTTTTGTTGTTGTTGTTTTTGTTGTTGTTGTTTTTGTTGTTGTTGTATTTTTTTTTTTTTCTTAGATATAAATATAAGCGTATAGTTAGAAGACAATTGTGTAGATATATAGCCATTTAAAAATTTTCTATGCTAATATGGTCTCCGAAACTATGGTGTAGAACTTTTCTATATTATTTAAACATCCTTTTGTTGATGATGCACTCCTCAACCTTCCAATCTCCATTACCTTACTCTCGCACTTTTCTCCAACTATGACCCCTCTACACTCTATCAACTTATCCATCCATAAGATCCTCATCTCCATCACCAACAAATGAAGGATTTTGCTCCCTCTATTATTACAAATGAAAGTAATATGTTTTAATTTTTGAAAAATGAGA